CAAAACATAAATTTATTTTCAGGAAGCACATTTGCTAGAATTAAAATTCATATTTAAAACTCTGTGATGAGCTTATACACCTGACCCTGGCCCATTAGGTTATAGTTATCATATTATTTTAGATCGTAATTTAAATATATAGTTGTTATTAATAAATATATTTAAAGGAGCAGTTCCAGAAGTGACAAAGTATTTGTTCATACATGTGGGTTATACATGTAATGTAAAAGTCAAACATGAAAATGTAAAGAAAGTGCGTCTTTTCTTCTATAGTTTCAGCTTAAAATATTGGGACTGCATTAAATGATCATATCACTGAAATAGAATATTGTATGCTGCTGATGATTTTCAAATTTGATTTTTGGCCATTTGCTTACATAAAGTGACATATGAATGCGACAAAAAAGCTCTGTACATGTTTTTCCTGACAGTTTCAGACTTGTACACATTATAAATGTATCTGAAAGGCTTTCTTTACAGTTTTAATTACTAAAATCTGTCACCTCTCCTTTAGGTGTGTAGGTTTTTCTACATGTATGGGAACTTCACCCAGCCACCAATTTATGAGACCTAGTATCCATTGACAGTTTTCAGTATCTAGTCTTTCATACATACATACATGATATCACCTTTGACATATTTAAATGTCAGTCAAAATCTATTGAACATGTCAGCTACAGTTGACTTTTTGCATTAAGTGTTTACTAAGGGCAACATTAATACCTTTTATCTCTGTCTAAATTGTTCAGTTTAATGTAGCACATTGGTGCAGAAAAATTAATAACTGAAAAAGTGGGAAGACAAATCACGTCCTGTCATTGTATGAAATCATGAAGATTGATCATTGCACTGTGTTTAATGGTTAATAGAAACACCATGTTAAACAAAATTGTACATGATAAGGACACCTAAAAAAACACAAATACACCATGGTCCATTATTTTAAAGAAAAAAATACCTGAATAAGCGTTTTGTTAAGATATCTACTTTAGTTTAATGGATGGCTACAGTTGATCAGAAAAGTCATCAGGAGAAGACTTTAAAGATATGATGGTTTGGCATTTTTTATTATCAGTTTGTTTTTATGAGATATACTGTATTAAAGGATTTTGATTTCCTACTGAGAATTGACAGGTTACTAGGCAGGGAAAAATAGACCTGCTTATATTTGATAGATCAAGCAACAGACATACATGTACATGTAGTACTTAATACTGCAGTGTACCCAGTAGTGAGAGATATTCTATTCATAAAGATGTATTATCCTTTAATAGATTCATAGAATGTGATCTTTCCGTTTCACTGATTTCTTACTGACCATTATAATATGCAAGGGCCATCAGGTGTTTTCTTTAAGAAATGGTTAACCGTATGTATGCACAATAATTATTCATGTACTAAGCAGATATATAAGGATAGTATTGTTCAAAAGATCTTAATGGGACTATAGAGATTAAATTTTTGTATGAGAAAGTTGGAATTGATATTTATCTACTTATAAGTATTAACATGATATATATCTATCAATCAGCTGTTCAATATAAATAATACTGTGTTAATCAAGTGTTAACACCATCAATATAGCACCTTAACATTCAAATTGTAATCCCTACTTCTACACATCATTAATTACTTTATTATCAAGCTGTGGGAAAATGGATCTCCTAATACATATCCATATCCTACCAGTAGCAGTATATTAGTGATGTAACACACAGTGTTAATTAATTGGCTTGTCAAGTGGGTGTTACAGTCTAATTGTTTACAGCTAAAGACACAATTTACAAGTAGTTAACACCTTTAATACACATTCAGATCTTATCCAATATACATACAAACTACAACATGACCTCAATGTCATGTTCAATGCCATTTAGCAACCCTCTTAATAATGGTTTTAGAATATATTAGAGTGTTATTACTTGTAGCAGACAGTATTTATCCATTTGAAATCAACAACAAAATAATTTTATTGCAGTAACATTTCTACTCACCTGAAAAAAATTTGAAGCAATCTTAATATTGTAAATAATGTGGGGGTGTTCATTAGGAATCTGTTTCTACTAGGAATTGTAATATCAGGGCTTTTTGCCAAAAGTTTGTAGATTTAGGATATTATGTATGTTAAAATCCTATTGACTTACAATCAACTTATCTTTATGTAGATACATTAACTAACAATCATCTTATTATAATGTAAACTTTCTGGCAACTGGCCTGAGGTTTCACTATAATATTAATAAGTAGATATAGAGTCTAGGTTGTTGTACTCTCATCTTCTCAAGACAGAATTTAAAGATGCCACACTAACACTTGCAGTTGTCAACACTTTGATTTAGTTATTGTGTTTTGATGAACGCATTTAATGTGGCAACTTTAACCATTTGTATCGAAAGTTGTATTTTATTATGTCGACTTTAAAAAACCACAATATGTAATGCACAGCATTTACTGCATTTATTTGTATTGTAAGATTTTATTGGCTGGCTGACGGGAATCAGTTATTGAAATGAAAATATTGCTAATGAGGTTCAATCGGCATTAAACAAGTCATGATATTATTTCCCTTTAGGTCTTTTGGGTAAATTAAGCTGGGCACTCGTAATTTGCAACTCTAAATGGAAATACATCATGATTGAAAATATTATTGTAAATATAAATTTTTTCCATGACTTTTGAAAATCATGTACTCTATCTTAATGGTATCAGTATAGTAATTAAAGGATTTAATGACATTTTGTGGGATTGGTGTCCTTACAATGGTGAATCTTTTAGTCACCTCACTTCCCATGTTTAAAAACAGTTTAACCTTTGTAGACTACATATCTATACCAACAGTACATCAGATATGATAGTCAAGAGTGATCGTGGTTGCTGTGTTTTATATAATACTGAACATGTTCAGTGTAACAAGTCAGTGTTTGTAGGTAGATATAAGATAGATTTATGAGGGTGTCATTAAAGAAGGTTAGGTTAATACTGACTATGTCATCCACTTAAAATATATAATATCTATCTAATAACTTGGTCACCTTAGTTCAGGTCTATTCTCTCAGTTAATCACCCTATTTTCAATAGGGGCCCTTTCATTTTTATCTGGCTTAGTTTAGTGAAAGGAGAAGCATGTTACAGATGAGCTAACAATGAAAGTGAGAAAGTTGGGATGATTCCAGATTTTCAGAACCTTTCAAAGCAAACAAAAAAACTAATAAGAACATTTTTCATTCAATAATTTGTACTTCAGGGATCCCACATTTTAAATAAATTTGGTTTTTAATAGATTAGAAATTAGATATGTTACAAACCAGTAATTTAAAATTTTGAATAATGTTTTTTTCCCTGTTATTTTGTCATGTGAAATGTGACATTTCTGACACCTATTAATCTATAGATATTTTCATCTTTGATGATTTTGAAAGGAGTGATATATAGATGTATGTAGCAGTTTGTAGCCTATAGATCTTTTCACTCTATTATGTAAAGTATGCTGAAAAAATATTATCATTTTCAGTTGTTTGTTCCAGCTTGTTGGCTTCAAGTCTGACAACAAAATTTGATTTTCTTTTGTTTGTATGTTTGATCCTAACTACCATAATGATTACTTGATGTCTCAGAATTTGTGTGTTCCTTATAACGCCAGGTCAGATCATGACCTTAGAGCAAAAATAAAAAGTGATTTTAGATGAAATGTATATGTCATAGCCAGACAAAGTAAACATATCGCTTGGATTTATTTCAATCATGTTTATACCAGCATTACTGAGATTCAACAACCTGGGGCCAAATCAAAGCCTACCTGCATTCAATTTGAAGACAGTAATTTTATTTGAATTGTCTTCATGTTTGTAGTGAATTTATATCCTTGATTGTTGGGAAATTGGGAAAAAATGTTAACCTGAGGTTCCTTATTGGTATACAGACTGACACAATTTATGGCACAGATGAAGCTTATTTTAAGCCAGGAAATCGTGGGGAAGCAAAACAAACATTCAACAGCCTGTAAGAAACACACAAAACTATTTTGTCAAAGAAACAAGCAAACACAACACATGGGTCTAAACAAAGCCACACTTTGATCAGTGGCATGTATGCTTGCATTCTGATCGACTAAACAAACAAAAGGGAGTTTTTGTGATTAACGTACATCTTTGGTTAAACCAGGAAACTTTCCGGCGCTGTTATTCAAATTCTCTTTCCCTGAAAACGTAAACATGCAATTTCTCTTGTTTTAAGATAATCATAAAAATTTCACTCGTATCTAATAATTTTCATCAATAGATAATTGACATTGTTAGTGTTTTTGTTAAATATCAGATTACATTAGACGCTTTGAATAAGTTAAGATAGTCTTCGTATGTGGCCTTTTATTCCTCAGGCCATAGATACACCTGCATTCATGTTTTAAGCATGATGCATGAATAATACATGAAACAGGGCTCCCACTTCAAAATTTTACTAACAAGTCAATTTATTGCACATCCTTTTTTTCTACGGTAATCCTTAACATTATCTAAATTTATAATTCAATTTTAAAGTATTTATTGTGTTCATGTAGATTGACTAACAGTTAATTCTCCATCCGGACAATTTCAGTACATGCCAGTCAAGACTGGTGAAATGACAGAAACTAGAGCCCTGCTGATCTATATACTACATAAAAACAAGTCAATTTGGATCCAATCAAAAACAACATTGGCACCAGTTTAATAACTAGTGGTGTCATTGTGGTTTTATGCTATAATTTGTGCAGTTTGCAATATGAGAATCACGTGACTTATATTAGTAGTCTTCAGGGAGGTGAAATTCCATTTCTAGCCTTCGAGACCAGATATGTGAAACCTTCTACCCACACATTTTATAAGCCCACATTTTCATGTGGACCTATAATTGTTGTACGAGGATCCATCTACTGGATTTTGTTCTGCCTCACTGTTAAGAGATAATCAAATTGATAATATTTTGAGTGAATTTCTGATTATTTTAATATTTTGTATTTTCAGAAATAAGTACCGGGACAAATAATGCAGTAGAACCAGAAACAGCAGCTCTTAACTCTACCAAAGTTCTGGTGCCTTCACCAATTTCCAACACAACAACACCAGTTCCTCCCAGTAATTTTATTGATAATATTCCAGCGAACTCCGTTCCGGATAAAAACTGTACAAGCAGTAACTGTGATAATGACGTGACTGTAATATGCCCTCCAGATTCTAAATTAATACAAAATTCCACATCTCTGGATAAAAGAATAAAGTGTCAGTGTAGACCCGCATATTGTAACCAAACTTTGTGTGCTCCAGGGTTTTATGCCGCTGTATTAAATAAAGGGAAAGGAATTCCTGGTTCGTGTTGTGATGAACTGGTGTGTAAACGATCAGGTAAACAAAGTTTTTACAAATACAACTACATCTTTTACATCGATTCTTTCTTTTCTTTAAATCCATTACTTTCTACTTCTGACTTAATAAAAAAAAAAGATTCTGTTGGCAACATCGGTGATTCGTTAACAGAAGGTAACAGTAGCAGTAGAACCTTAAAAAAAGCAGACATTTCAAGAACAATTTTTAAACCAGATCAATATTTCATCTCGCTATTGTAGAATGGCCAACTGTCTGAGAGTTCTGCAAATATGTTTAATTGATTGCTCTACATGTAAATACCATCCAAGTTACAAAGCCATGATAATATACTTAGCTACCATCGTTCACAGGTAAATGTAGCATGACTTTACAGGAATTCCACAGAGAAGAATGTTTGGGTAATCTAAGTGTGAGAACAAATGTACAGTACATGCATTGTTAACATAGCCTCAAGTATACATGATAAGAGAAATATACAAACATGTAATTCTTATACATAAATTCTATTTCTTGATTGTGTAACTATAAACACACATGTAGTTCATCCAGATTCGCTTCTTTAACATTAAAACTAAACAGTACTTGAGATAGTTTAAACATATACTGTAATATATATACTCATTAATTACTTATGGGTATTTGTTATGATCAAGTTGAACATCTTTCACAGTGAAGTTTATTATTTTCATGTTATCACTAGCCATCAATTATCTAAATTACCAGGCCAATTGCTTCTCAACTTATCCAACGAAAGGCTTGAATAGTTGACATTCTTTTCTCCATTAATACATACTTGGATGCCTCATTTGTAAGTCTTAATCTGTCTGTCAAGTACTACTACTGGTAAAATGTGTTTTTCTACACAGCCATTGTTCACTCATAAAAACTGAAGTGTTCTAAAGGAATGTGTGATCTGTTTCTTATCTTTTCCATTTAAAATAACCATGACATGATATGGACTATATATATATCTCACACTTTCCTTCTGGACTTTGATATAAGTAAATATCTGACATGTTCAGATTTAAACAAGTGATAAAAACTTCATATTGTTTTCTAGGCTATTTTGAGCCAGCGACTAGCATATATATATATATGCCTCTTTATTTCAATTCTTTTATTTTAACTTTTTTTTCAATTGTTAAATGTTAACTGATAAAAACCTACACACCCAAAGGCCAAACAAACTTTTATTTCATTCATTAATTTCAGTTTTTGCTGTTGGTGATTTAGAACAATCATTTATCTTTTCTTATTTCCATTTGTAAACCACAAGACAGATGCACTAACAGAACACACCTTTAAATTTGTTACATTTCTGAAAAAAAACGAAGAAATAATTAACTCCTGAGGAGATGACATCTCATAAAATATATTTTTTATATCTTTCCACTCTGCATGTCTGTCCCTGGGACGCCAAAGATAAACTATAAAGTGATAAAAATAGAAAAAGATCATAGACACCAACAGATTAATGTATGCATATAGATGCTAAAATATGTATGACATATACACTATATTTTATGCAGTGATGCACAAAAGTTTAAAAGTTTAGTCACTTGCGGTGTTGGGATTCATACCTTAGATTTTTTAGGCTAACTATAAACAGCTGGACATTCTTGTAAAATTTAAAAGAGGTGCATTACGAATAAAAGCGATGTCATTTAATTTTCTAATCAAATAAAAGGTATACTACATCATTATGTGTAGAAAAATGTTTACATGGATTTTTTTTGATTCAGGTCTTAATGAATTTTTTTACTAATAGTGCAGAAGCTTAATAGCATTGGTTATATAGCTTATAACTACATGTAGTGAAATAGTGTGAAGTCAAACCAAAGAAATTGCAGAGATAACAGCTAATAGCTAATATATGATCTACAGTGCATGAGAGGATTTCGATTTAAATTTTCCATATTTGTAGTAAATTTATTCATAGCTGAATAAGAGTTGATTAAAAATCGCCCATAGGTTGCAGCTTAGACACCACGCCATAATAAGTATAGTTGTAACCAGTATGTTATATACTGGTATCAAAAATATAAACCCACACAAAGCATGCACATGTCTAGCATGTTCAGTGATGTTACTTTTACATGTTTATATAGTTTGTCATTTCCGCTATAGGGATATGGTTTAAGAATACCTCACGGATGTGATGTGCCAATTCAGATGATTTATGGGAGAGAAAAAAAAAACATCTGTAAAGTGAATAATTATATCATGAATTAGTCATCTTTCACTACAGCAAAATACAAGGAGGCTTGATTGACACATCAGGCATGTAATTGACATAGGAAATTGACTTAAAGATGCGATGTCAAATGATCTTTTTGAAAAATTTGCTAAGCATATGGCAATAAAGTATGTCTATTTACAGACCTACCTACTTACTTAATGTATTGTAAAAATTATATAGGTTTTTGACTGATTTTTCTAATATCGTGTAATTTAATCATATGAACAGGCTATTTCATCCTATTTGGAAATTGGATCACATATGTCCATATAAGTTATCATCAATCTAGTTTTAAACACAATAAAATTCTTCTCATACCCCAGGATAAAATATCTTTTATTTTCTACTTGGATGAAATTGTCGCTAATCATACATTTCAAAACTAAGATTCTCCACCAAGCTGCCCACAGGGATATCCAACTGTGTAATTTTACACATATTTGTCTGATCATAGATTAGGGTTCAATTAAGATATAATATAACAGAGCATTAAGGAATCAGTCAGGCTATTAAAATAACACTTGAGAAATAATGCTTCTATGTGAGCTCATTATGTATTTCAGGAATTATTGTTTCGCATGGTTTCAGTCTCACTATGAATAATCAGAGCACCTGTTAAAGGATACAAAAACACTATCATTAACCCATAATTACCTCTCAATTATGGAGTGCAGGGAAATATATAGGAGTATACATAATTTAATAGCAGGTGGAACTTATATGTCAACTTATTAAGGTGATGGATGACTTTTATCCATATATACATACATGTACATTTATAGCACACATTAACCCAGTACATTAACAAAGGCACAATCCTAGATTTTTATTAACCCTTTGTCAACATTCAGTAATTTTTTGTCCTTTATTCTAACTTTCAGTTTTTGTTGATGAACTTGTATAAATATATATATAAGCTTTAAAGTTAAAGGAAAATATTTCAGAACTAGTGGAAATTTGAAGCTTTTTTTTCGTGTTCAGAAATTGACCCAGAACAAATTTGCAGAAACCATCATTTTTTTATGCCTTTCATCAGTATACATATGCGAGTGCAAATTATCAAAATTTTCCTAAAAAAAAAGTCAGACCTTTAGGCTTATTACCGTTTTGAATGGCATGGTTGTGAATTTAGAATTCATAGAATCTATCTCTTGAACTCCACCCAGTATTTAATACCTTTGTTTCCTTTTTGTATGATATTGTATCTGACTTCACCCACAGATAGAAAAACAAAGACTTCCTGTAGAAATGGTTTAGAAAACACAAGTGGCTTAATTGATGTTATCTTCAAGAATTAAATAGATTGTGTTGACACTTGACCTTGTTTGATTATTGAAATAGTATTAAATGATTTATATTGTTTATTTTTCTTTCTTCTTTACTAGCCGTCTGTAAATCTGTGATATGTCCTGCAATTGAAGCTAAAATCTGCCCTGATGACAGTTTCCAACTTCCTAATATATTAACAGAAGATGGCTGCTGTTACATACAACAAGGGTAAGTACAAAAAGTTTGATATCATAATGTTGTTACACAATTCCTTGAGATATTTCAATATTGATTTCATCCTCCACGGTACAATGGAAATGACAATAAGATATGTTTGAATTTTGTTTCAAAACATTATCCCTTTCAAAAGTTACAGGCTAAAGAATTAATTTGGGCTATATTATGTCTTAAATTTAGTATTGTTACCAGTACCTCATTTAACCAGACATAAACAAATTGCTTGCGGGAATGGGCTTCAATTAGAATAATGATACAAAAACTAACAGATATGCTGGTTTGGGAGCATTGACAGCTTAGAATGTCATCTTTTGCCTCACTGTCAAATCACATAATTGTAATAAATACATGTATATGTTGTGGAAATAGCCACAGTCTCCCTTTAATTTTAAAATTCATGATAAAAAAAAAGACGCCTTAATTTTTATTTCAAGCAACTTGGTGTTGTATACAGATAGGTTAGACATTGATATAATAGTGGATATACCTGTGTATTATTGTGTGTAACATGTTTTGATGAAAGGGATATAAAACTTTTTATGTGAAAAAGTAATTGAAAGGAGTATACATACATGGATATTCTATTTATAAAATTAAATAACATAGTCTAATGTTGAAAAGCTATAAAATGAAAACCAGAAATAATTGTCTACCAGCTAGGTCTTCAAGTACTTTTGAAGTACCGGTAGTGGTCTATAGTCATTGACCTCAAGATCATTTTCTTTCATCATAGGTGGTCTTTAATCAATCTTTAAGGTTCAGTTACTAAAAAGTATGTTTTTTTATTTGTTTACTTAAAAGAACAGTTGGCTAAAACACAGTATTTGTGACAAAAGTGCCTTATCACTCATTAGGTTGAACAAATAAATTTTCTTGCAGTGCCTTGCAATTCCAAATATCAATAGTTCAATATTTTAAAAAGCATTTTAATCACTGTATTGTTATGGACACTACAACAATTTTGGTGATAATTTGTAAACAGCTAAATATTCTGAACCGAAGCTTTCAGACAAGGTAAACCACCTATTTCTTTACATTTTAAAAACCACATGTATCAAAGTATACCTAGAGCAATGTGGGGTTGCCCATTTAATTTGGTAGTTAATTTAAGAAGCAACAGAATTGATATTGTTATTATTAATGTACTAATTCATAAAAATTATAATTTTGATGCATTTTGTAAACTGTTAAATAAACTATGGAATTATGAGCTTGATCAAAATGACAAAATCAACTTCAAATTCAAATGAATAAAAAATTGGCAGATTTAGCTCTTGCATAATGTATGGTTAAGGTACAACCCTATGGTTACGGACACTACAGATTAGTCATCTTGCACTTTTGAGCTTTTAAATGTCCTAACTTTTAAACATGTGATTCATGAATGCCATGATGCTACAATATTTCAAACATTGATCAAAAGTGAGTCTTAGAAAAATAATAGCCATTTGTAAACTGAAAAGTTTTCAAATGTTTTTCATGCACGTAACAAAACATGTCCAATGTGATTCTGATAATTTGAAAGCACATTTTTGTAATTTAGTCATAACTCCCTTAATACAGTGTCTATTTGTATAGTTAAACTACCAAAACTTATTATAGGAAATGTTCTATAAGCATGCATTTGTATCCTTTCCAAAAAAAGTCACAAAAAATATATTATTGCCAAGGAATGGCTATTTTTGGGACATGTTTATTGCCATAACTCAACAATGAAGATATTGATTTGAAATCTGGTGGTCATTAGGAGAGGTCATTATTACAAATGTTGAATATAAGAAGTGGTCTGTAAATGCTGGAAATCTTTTCCAAACTGTATGTTACCCGAGTAGCTTGTATTTTGATCAAGCTCATAATTCCATAGTTTATTTAACAGTTTACAAAATGCATCAAAATTATAATTTTTATGAATTAGTACATTAATAATAACAATATCAATTCTGTTGCTTCTTAAATTAACTACCAAATTAAATGGGCAACCCCACATTGCTCTAGGTATACATTGATACATGTGGTTTTAAATGTAAAGAAATAGGTGGTTTACCTTGTCTGAAAGCTTCGGTTCAGAATATTAAGCTGTTTACAAATTATCACCAAAATTACTCAGATAACAAATTTTGACAATTGTTTACCTGCATTGTATGCCCTAAAAACAAGACAACCATGCTACAGAAAGTTTGTGGACCTGTTTATCCAGACAGTACTATAGGGGTAAGGTTGGGAATTTGTCACCTTAAATGGGTTATGTAATCATGCAAATGCAATCATCGTTGAAGGGCTGAATATTTAGATTTGAAGATTTCAGACATGATAATTCGACATTCTGGCATTCAATCTACATACTTGAACCCATCTTTAGTTTACCAATGGCTAATCTGAGAAGTATCAGACTGCTTCACAACTATTCAGCAGCACAGCATTACTCTTTATGTTTAGGCTATTATGTCTAACTCTGAATGGAAATTTGGTACTATTCCTTTAAATTTGTAGTACTATGGAGTGGGCCATGTGACTGTAATTGACTGGTCACACCTGCGTTTCTCTCTGTGTATACATGTATATTTTATTTTTTGTAAACATCTTGGACACGGACACATTACTAATATGTGGTCAAACACGTGTGTAAGCATGTAAACTGTGTTTCTTTGTCAAACATAAGTTGTGTTGTTTTGTTGACATTTCTTGTTTTGCCATATTCTTCAAACTGTTTATCAAACAAACATAGTTTTAAAGGTTCTTTTTGACTCATTTTCCATTTCTCTGCTATTTTTTCAAACCATCATAAAGGTTCTGTTCACACCATGCATATCCACGCTTCACACTGTTACAACACTTTATTTATTATCTTATCGTCTTGCACGTTGAAAACAAACATTTTACAATGTCAAACATGCATAGTATGTTTATTTTTTTTAAAGACAATGGCCCAAAAAAAGAAAGTGGTATGGAAATTGATATTTACCGGTACATGGAATTTTGGAATACTGACATTTGTATTGTTAATTGTTACAGTTCTTCTGAAACAACCGTTGATTTTAAGATGGAGACATAAAGTCATTGTGTGTTGTGAGATGATCGAAAGAGATCGAAATAGCAATAAGATCACTATAAACCATCAAATATTGGGTTTACCATTTAATAGAATTCTACAGTTTGTTTAGAATTTTGAGGGAATTGTAGTACCTGTGGTTCAGGTAAAAGCATATAAAGGATTTAACAAGAAATTAAAATCGTACAACATAAAATAAATGTCTAGAGCTTACAATAGACTTATAACCGTCTTTATGTGATGTATACAAATGAGTTTTTCTTAAGCCAATAAAACCCATAATCATTAGTATTCTTATATGTATATGTCAAGTACTTTTCAAGGATTAATTAAAATTCTTGTTTTCCACATTTTTTGGCAACATTTGTAAGTTAGTGTCTTTACCATTTTAACATGTTCTTCTGTAAGCTTCAGAAAAAGAAAGATAGCTATTTTATCTTAATAGGTAGGTGTAAAAAATAGTTGACTTTTAACTACTTACAAATATATTGGTTTACCATTTAAACGAGATGTTAAAAAGTACATATAACATGTTAAAAACTTCAGTTTATAGGTACATGCTGACTGTAAATGAACTTTCAGCCTAATTTTTTGAGGGAGAGATGCAGTTGACCTTTGCAAAAAATTAGCCTATTTCAAAGCATGGTCTAGTCAGCAATTTTGAATGAATTATTTTTATTTGAAAATTAATATTAAGTAATCATTAGATTAATTTTGAAGAAATACATTTTGAACAGAATAGAATTATCTGAAATCATAAAACATTTATAAAACATATATTTACATGTACTTTATAAAATATTTTAGCACTAAACAGCTATTTTTCAGAAAAAGAATTTATAATTAATTATGTGTATTGATGAGTAGTTTAAGGGATTATTAAACTTCAAACATTAAAGACAAAAGAAGGATGCATGTCAAAGCTACTGAATAGTTTTAGCTAGGACCACTCTCCTTATGAATAATGCAACACTATTTGCCAGATGTACCTTAATTATAAAACATCAATATTTGATTAAGCAAACATTTAAAAAGAACAATCTTTTGCCCTTTAAAAGTGCACTACTGAATGCATTAACTTCTAGTTGCTCCAGTGTGGTTATATATTCTAGTTAACCTTATGGAAATAGCAAAAAATGATGTGTCACTCAACAGTTGTGCATTTAATTGATAAAATATATTACAGCAATATGCCAGGAAAACCATTTACCTAGCACTTGTGTTGAAAAAACAACCACACCTCAATACATTGTATGTGCACATTTTATATGATAAACTAAGGTTGATGATGAAATGCTAAAGTTGAGAAAAGGTGCTAATTTGAATATCAATTGTATACACATGTTAATTATTATTCATATATTTTACAAATGAATTGGATGTTGCTAATTTTGATTTTTGTTATGAAATGTATTTTGTGAATATTAAAACTGTCCATGTGTAAAATTGTTATGGCTTTGTATATGTTTGCCAAAACAGCACATGATACACATAATTATTGTTGATTGTATTATTAACTGTACTTGATTATATTATTAAATGAACAACAAATTCATTAATCTCAAATATTGGTTTCCTCACATGCTATAGCCACTAGTTAAATACAAGCATGTGGTACAAATAGAATTAGGTTTCACAAGATAAAAAAATGGACAAACTTATAAAGCATTCTTACCAAAGCACGTAATTGTATGATAAAAACATAGATCTTTATCAACGTCTTTTTCATGCCTTAAATATCACCTGCTGCTCATGTGACTTCAAGTTTAAATTTACAGTGTACAATCAACATACATGTAATGTAAAAGGAGGAATGACTTCATTGCATATTGTCTTATTATTGTCTTAGAGCCATCATACTTCTGTTTTATTATTAGGTTGAAAATGAAAAAAAGCACTTTCTGTGTGATACATTGCACATCCTCTGACAAAACAGAACATCCCTCTGGCCTGTGTAATGCTTCATGTCTATTAAACATACATTATGCAAGAGCTAAATCTGTCTATTGCAGGTCTTTCTTTAGTCCTTCACGATTTATGGATAATCGAGACTATGCTGTTTATCGTACTGACTTTAGTAATGATGATCAAGGCTAGACGGAACTTTCAACCGCTTAGTTCTCGGTTTATTACTTAGTGGATCAATTTGAATGAAATTTTCAGCAAATTGCCTTTACATTATCTAGTTTTGAACTATTATAGTGAGAACTGCCAACTCGTTATCGAATCTCCCATAATGTATCTTTAAGGAAATGATACATTCATGGGAGTGAGGTGTCACTACTTCAAATTGTAACTATACATAGAAATTGTTTTATTAAATATACATCAATACTAATGCCTATCAAAGCTGTGATTTTTATTATATGGTGATATTTACTAATTATTTATTTCTTGTATAATTTTAGATGTAAATGCAAAAGAATAGATACCTGTCCTGCTGTCACCTGTCACGAAGGATATCAGATACAGGTGATTTCCAAAGCATCAAGACTACCAGGTTCTTGTTGTGACAAGTTCCAGTGTGTTAATGGTAAGATTTTATTTACAGTATTTTCTTGAATTTTTGCATTCATTAGCCCTGTTTACATTACAAATTATTAGCGTGACAGGAATGGTTCCGAGCTCAGAATGGTTAATTTTTTTGTAGTGTAAACAGGTCAAACATAAGCGTTTCGCTCTGAGACCGTTCCATTTTGGAACAGTTAAGTTTTCATAAAGTAAATGCTATCTGGTCTGAAAACGGTTGTCAGTACGGATTATTGCGCATGCGTCAAATAAACTAGGACATTTTTTTTACCTCAGGTAGCGTGATATCATTGAGTAACTTGATGAGACTGCTAACTCATTCAAAATCGCATCAGATCACTTAAAAAATGACCATAAAATAAAACGAATTGGCCAAATGTAAATAAATTACCCGCTATAATTTGCATAGGGACTGAAATAAACTTTTCTGTGAAGAGTTCCACAGACTAGTTATTGTAGAGTAATGTAAAAGGGTAATTTTCTTGAAATTTACCCCGGTCTGGAACGGTTCTGAGAACGGAATGCTTATCATGGCCATGTGTAAATGTAACATGCGTCACAGAAAATTATTGATTTACTAATGGTGGATTTGAGGTCATACAGGACCAGTAAAACAACTGGTTCATTCAATCTGTTAGTCCCAAAATGTCCTGGTTTGTGTCGAGTGGACATTAAACCCCATTCTCTAAAATGAATATCTGATTGACTTTAAATTTATATACAGTATTTAAAGTCACTAGACGAAGAAGCCATTTGATTTTCAAGGATTTTCGATAATTACTGTCAGATTTATGGCCCTTGATCACTTTGAAAAATCTTGTGGACACTCTTGAGACTAAAGTTAATATCTGATTAACTTTAAAGTTTAAGGTTATGAGATGAAGACGTCTATTGATTTTCAGGGATTTACGATAATTACTGCCATTAATCCAATGATTACTTCAAAAAATCTTGCAGATGCTCTACGGGCCAAAGTTATCATTCGACTTATTTTAATTTTATACAATACACAGATTTTAAGGTACTGTGACGAACAAGTATATTGATTTTTAATGATTTTCGATAACTTGAACAGCTAAATGATATTAAATGTTTTGTAACGTTTAAACGTTAGCATGGAGAAGAACTAGAAACCAAACAAATTCTAATGATTTCTTATAATTACTTCATGAGTTGTTACTCTTAATCAGATTTTAGTGTATTGTAAATGTTGCCTGGCAACCTATCTTTTTCAGATAATATCTAACTTTTCATGATTTTAGACACTTATTCACATAATCAGTATTCTCGAAAATTGGATGGCTGAGATATTTAATGTATTAGCCTATCTGTGCCATATTATCAGTTAACATTGAAATGCACATCACTTAATAAAAACTGACAATCAAAGACTTCTTTTATTGTCATAGCAACACTCATAACTTCACTTAGAATAATGTAATTTGTTGAAATTTTTAATTTTTAATCTATTTATTTTTCATTATCTATTTTTGAACTATTACAGCAAGAACAGCCATAATGCATCTTTCAATGACATTCAGAGACTTAATGTATAAGAGCATGTTTTAGTAGAAAATTCTTAGATTCTAAATAACTTTTATCAAAATAAACAACTCTATCATGTGTATAAGCTAATGTGTATATCTACATGTACTAAGATATCATAAACACAAGTGTGATTGTTATATATTTACATATTACCTATGTGTTGAGCAGAACTTTAGCAACATCCAGTTCAATGACATTTAAAGGTGTTAAAAGTTTTAACTTCTAACAAGGTTTCTCACCTAAATCATCTTAAGTGTCTCTATCAGCAAATAACACAAATGTGCAGATATTGCAACCTTTTCTGCTTACCATTTGGTTTTAATTTACAAAGTGCATAATTGAAATCTGGCTAAGTTTAGATGTCTGGTTTTCTTTAAATCCAATCCTTTTGACAATACAGTGCATATCAAGGTTTTCAAACATTTATTACAAGTCTGGGGATAATTGGCTTGTCTTGCTTTATATTATAAAGTAGGGCATGACAAATGTTAAGATGTAGATAGCAATCTGTGTTTGTATAATAATTTTTGAGTTATTATACAAGTTTTATGTAAAGAGATATAAATCATGGACAAAGATTAAAATGGAAATTTTTATAAAGTAGTGTAAAGTTAAATGTACATTGTTATTGAAGTTTCAAGTGAATTATTTGTAACTTCTAACTCCGATCAAAAATCAATCAGGTGAACAGTTTTTAAATGTTCTTCTGCTAAAATAGAACCACAAATGGATTGGAAATTAGTGTTTTCCCGAACACTTTAATTTTGTTTGTCCTGTCTTCATGGATGGGAGGTTTAGAATTTGTTTAGGCAGCATTTGTTGCAGCAGGAGCACAATGAAAACTGCAAATATTAAGATAAACAAAACCAAGCTGACAATGTACACATTAATGTGAGATGAGAGATTATCAGAAAGAAACTGAATCATAAGAATGTTTGTGGTAGTCAAATTACTGTCTGCAATAATTACTATAATTTATAGACAATCATAAGGTACATAAATTTCAGTGGACCTAGTATGAAATGACATTAAATTGTTGAAAGATGGTAACATTACCCACCTCAAAAGTTGTCTTGTCACTAATGTGTAAGCTACTTTTTTTTTCTATGCCTTTATGACATGCATGTGAAAGTTTAAGTAGTAACGTTCTCACCCAGTTTTTGTGTTGTATAAGAAATATGTAACTGACTTTATGTATGTGTGATGGTTATTATACACCATACATTTTATCACCAATCTAACTTCATTCAATATGTTATCTATAATTTATGTCAGACAAGAGGTTTATCATCTTATAATTGCCCCCTTTTCGAAACATTTCATTTGAAGAGAAAACTGTCTACCCAACCAAGCATACTTCCATTTACACCATGCTTCATTGCCTTGTTTATTAGTCACAGAAAAAGATTCTTCAAACCTGAGCTTTATACAATAAATCTATTGAAATGTTAATTAAGTAAGAGATTATTTTGTGATTTTATTAGCATAAGTATGGTAATTTCCTAAGTTACTAGTGTGTAGAATTTAAGTATTTTTTTAATATTACGGTTGAAAATTAACATATTTATAAAGTACATGTATTAAATTGTATCAAATCAGTTCCCAAAAATATAAAGACATTTCACATCAGATTGATGTTTTGAATATAAATGTAGAGCTTGAGGGACTCTTATCATAATTTGGTGTAATAAGTAGATAGCGGTAATTAAATTCAAAGAAAAAATGAATGCTTTCCTGTGTAGAAAAATATGCCCGTAGGTGATCTGAATGAGCCCCTTGTTGTAAATATTAATAACTTTGGGGCAGCTAATAATGATTGTCTAGTCACTTGATTTGAAAATTCAGTAAAAAATTGCAATTTGTGTGCATTTACAGACACCTATAGACTGATCAGATTTGTATGTTGTATGAAATTCAATAACTGCATAAGACTTGGACAGTATCTCAGTACTGACATAAAAAAGAAGAATTAATTCATATTAGTTTTATAGTTTCAAACATTCAACCTTGAATTTCCCTGCATACTTCCATCTTCTGAAGCCTGTTTGGTGCAGCAAAGTAGGATGTTGAATCCCTTTTCATTCTTTCATTCCCTAGACACCAAAACTGTTGCATATCTCATCATGTGAGTGTTTTAATATTATATCAAGTTAAATTAGGTGAGTCTAATGAGCATAACCAGTTACTATGGTCAGTAAGTAATGACTTATTTACGCTGCTACAGATTTAACCTACATTTTAATTACAAACTTTTCTTTTGATGAACTGATTTATGCTCTTATATCATTGCAAATTAAAGGAAATTTTTTTTCTAGGTGAGCATGTTGGTTAGTGGTTAATCAGGTGCCGCCCTTCCCAATATTAATTAACATTCTTGATAGGTTTAACCTTGACCAAAAACACTGGCTTCATCTATTTGATTGCTTCATGATAGGTTTAGATTATTGAATTATTTTTATACGCCCACATTTTCATGTGGACGTATATTGTCGTCGCCCCTGTCCGTCCGGACGTCCGTCCGTCCGTCCACAATTTGTTTGTGGACTCTCTACAGGTCACAATTGTTGTCCGATTTTGACGAAACTTGAAATATAGCTTTATCCCCAAAAAATCTCGGCTGCTTTCGATATTGGCATGTATCGGATCGAAACTTCATGGATTATGGCCCCTGTTTGTACGAAAAGTCACGTTTTTAGCTTGTGGACCCTATAGAGGTCACAATTTTTATCCGATTTTGTTGAAACTTGAAATGTAAGTTTATAACCCAAAGATCTCAGTTCCTTTCGATATTCGCACATATCGGACTGTAACTTCCTGAATTATGGCCCCTGTTTGTACGAAAAATCGCGTTTTTAGCTTGTGGACCCTATAGAAGTCATAATTTTTATCCGATTTAAAAAACCGTAGTATTATATCACCGTTACACCCTAAGGACGACTGAGTTCGAATTTCGTGAAAATCGGCCCAAAATTGACAGACAAAATGGCCGCCGTTCGTTCTCAAATAGCGTAAGAATATGGTATATCAAGGTTGTGGACCCTATAGAGCTCACAATTTTTCTTCCGATTTTGATGAAACTTGAAATACATATTTATAACCCAAATTTCTTGGTTTCTTTCGATATTCGCACATATTGGATAACTTCCTGAATTATGGCCCTTGATTGTTCGAAAAAATCACTTCTTTTTTTGTGCTTGTTCTCTGTCCATCTCTTGCAAAATGTGGGCGTATCTTGCATGGCAACCGCTTGTTGTAGATATTTGGACCAAAATATAATTGTCAAATTGATAACACTGTCCCTTTGTGATCTCTATAAATCTAGACAAATATTCATTTAAGTAGTGAAGTTTTGCTTTGCTCTTTTGGAGTGTAGGGGCTTTGAAATTTGAGTAAAATTTTGATAAAAACTTAAAAAAACACAACAACACTGCATAAACTGAAATTTTTAGTTCAGAA